AATAACAACTTGAAATGAGTCACACTTCAATTCAGTTAAAAATCGACTAATATAAAATATAGATCAATCATACCACATGAAGAAAAGGCTGCAATAAAATGCAGTGATACAACAATGATGCAGTCGATGGAAAATTCGACTGATAATATTTGGACTTAACAGCGGAAAAGGCTTTCGAGACAACTGGTAAATCACATAACGCCGGATAACACCTCACTAAAGACTCAGTATTTGTAGTGAGCAATAAAATGAGAACGAAAATGATGAAATTCATAAGAAATATTTCAAAATATTTGTATCCATTGCATATATCACAAAAGACACTCAACTTAGGGATACACAAAGCAAAGGAAAATCGCTAGTTTATTTTCTTTTATAATATCGTTCCATTCCTTCTATCCGCTAGCTTCGGCGTGAACTTTAGGGAACTGCAGTTGACGTATTCGGGGATATAATCATGGTAACGGTCCAATCAATGAATGAAAAAGCATTAACTCACATTTAATATTCAGTTTGAAATGTAACATATAGTATGAATGGAAATACAACATGATGAAAACGCGGCACATCCTAGATAAGTGTTCCCAAATTTGGGAGAAGATGGCACGTAGAAAAGACAAATTTGGTTTAAAAAAGAGAACATACATGATTTCAATAATTGTTGGAATGTTTTCTCCTACTACGAACGAGACGGCTAATAAATTCTGATACACTCAAAATTCAAATTGAAGACAACTCGGCCTGCACTACAGCCGAGGAAAACGATTGTCTTAAATGGTGAGCACTGTTCCCGAGTTAACGAAAATTGAAACTGCATTGCGCCAGGCTTGGTAGCATCAAATTCGGTGGATAGAACTGCTGACGATTTTGTGGTGGCACAGTGAATTGTGAATGAGGTATCATTGATTGCATAACTGAAAGAAACAACTCGTTTAGATAACACTCAGATGCATATAATGGTTTTTTGCTGAAACTCTTCGAAATCTCGAAACGCTTACATGGTTGAATGCTGCGAGGCTGCGCCAACGAACTCATCTCAGCCTGTCCTCGAGGATGTATCACTGGTGGGCGTATCTCAAATTGACAGGGCACTGACGGCTCACCTGAAAATGACGAGCGGTTTCAAGGCGTCTCATAATCGACTTCACGAATGACGATCAAAACCAACACAGTTATCAAACCAAACAATTTTTACGCAGAACGCAGCCAAAGCGCGATGAGGTGAATAATTCAATATGCTCGGCTCAAAGAATTGTTTCAAAACCGGCTCTTTCAAGCTACTCTGTTATGCAAAATATAAGTTATGAAGATAAAATTGCTATAGCTGTAACCTAGATGTAATGAGTTATTGCCTGTCGTCCTCTGTGGATTTGTTATGTTCTGCAACCAATAAGGTGGTGGCATGCGATACAGCGACGGTTGTTGCCCGTTCTGAGGTAAATTTTGCGCCGGTGATGCGATTGGATGACGATACGGTGCATTGTTGGCACGCGCCATCGGGTTTGATCGATTGATGATATATGACGACGGAGTGAGAAGCACTTCCGAACAGACATCTGCTCTCGCTACGAACGAATTCGACTGCGCTCTGCTCGTGTACGATGCAGATGAGTTGGGCTGAGAAAGCGATCTGCTCACGCTGGTGACGTTTCCTGATAGCGCTGAAGATGTTGAGTTGGTGACGCACGCTGAAGACCGTGGTGGTGGTGCGAGTTGCTTCGTAGGGGGCAGCATATTGGCCACTGGTGACTGTGATTGATCAAGTAGCATGGGTGGTGTGGGTAAAGGTAAAAGCTGATAGTGGTGGTGTTCATGCCGGTTGGTGTTATTTGTTGTCAGATGAACCGTTGTCGGAGCTGAAGATTGTGAACTGACTGGCAAGCTGGACGAATGTGACAACGACGACATCGACACTGGGACTATCGCTGCGCGAAAATCGCTGGTTAACTCGAATAGATTATCGGGTTCCACGTGGTGCTGCTGTGCACTGACACTGGCTGCAAAAATATCGGAAAAAGTAGACAATTTTCAAATCGAGGACTATAGAAAAGATAAGTTCTTGTCTTCAAACCCCTCTCATTTCCGTACACTATCCGGAAATGAAATGTACATGAAAATTTCTTCAACAACACAACAACAGTAATCGTAACGTCTCCATGCCAGCGGAGAAACATTTAATTCATTATGAACTTATTGTTTACCATTTGATGACACCATTGCAGTTTGCATCGATTGTTGAGTAAGGTGCGTTGCTAATAAGCTCTCCAAAATGGATCCGTCCTCAAATGCATTAAATCATAATGAAAGCTAATCAAAAAGACGTTTAAACATAACAAAACGACAAACTCGTTGAGTTCTATACTGTTTGAAATGAATCCTTGCCAACGTTTACCACAAGTAAACCTCTAAAACAATGCACGGTCTTACCGCCAACTTAACCTTCGGTTGACGCTATACTAATATTCAGCCCTACACAGAGAAACCTGATCCTCATACCAAACTTACTCACACACCAGGCAGGTTGCAATCGCTTCCGCAGGACATCACATCTCAGTTTAAAAGCATAGCACAATTGTGACTGGTTATTAATTCAACTGCTTCGTTTACTAACCTGATGCAATACGGAATCCAGATTTCGTTCCTGTGTAATCACTGATTGGGTTGATGCTGATCCGGTGCTAGTCGATGTCACCGTCTTATTTGCACTTTCATTTATGCTCAGTGTCGAGGATGACTTGAAAAGAAAAAAATGAAGTCAACAATTATAACCTAAAAGGGCTGGAAGTAATAGCCCTTTTAGGTTATAATTGTAAGACTTGACGAGTGAATTCGTTCTAATACATCTCTGCAGTCCAGCTGCAACTCGATACCAAATCAGTTGCTGTTACGTGAGAACGAGATGAAAAGATATGAACTCAAGTGGATATACTCCACAGACATTTAGCATAGACTAACCTTAGATATGTTGCGATTCCGGCGAGAATCGCTTTCTCGAATCTTCGCACACTGTAAAGAAACGGAAAGCAATTTCAAAAGCACGGAAACAAATTCGCTGAATGGAACAATATATTGAAAGTGGTATTCATTCAATTAAACGCCTTACAGTTAAGACGAAAATACTTAGACGATCACTTGCAAAATCGTCACTGTTTTCAATCAAAAACTATTCTCAACGCGTACAACTACTTGGTCTTGAGCAAGATAAAAGAAATACTCCTCAATGCAAAATGAGGAACGAGAGGTTTGAAGGTGCTGATACTGAAAAGACTCTTATTGGCATCATTGTTTTTGAGTCAAGATCACTAAGGAATGGAATCCACTGAAATTGAACTGATAAAATATAGATAATGAATGTGACAGCAAGCGATTTCACCTGCACACATACACACTGATTCCAAGGACAACAGGCTCGCAAATGCACACTGTTCATCTCTCCATGGGCTCGACACAAACGACAGCATCCTTCAAATGGTATGCATTCATTGTGTTTTAAAAAATCACATACAGAAAGCAGAGTTAAGTAGTATGAAAAGAAACCATTTGAAACAATAAATAAATAAAACAAATGCAGTACGAAAGGTACGATCACCGAAATGTAGATATAACTATTATAACTAAGATCGAGCAATGTTTTTGTTATAGAAGACTAACTTGAGAGCAATGTATCGTTGGATTTCGTGGCTGAATTTAGCGATCCCTCTAAGACCGCTGAAGTCGTCGCTGACACTTCATCGATCGAGCTGGATGGATAATACAGGGGATTTGCCATTGCACCTGAATCACAGTTAACTCCTTTACAAACATTGCTCCAACGTTATGATAGAGTATCAGCGATCCTCTCATATCAGTGAATTTAGCCACTGCTATAACTGAGCGCATTAAAAGTAGCCATGAACAGAAATTTTCATTGGCGAGAGGACCTTTTCATGTGATTAGTTAGGCAAGGCACAAAATATGAAAGGTACGCCCCATTACAGCAAAGCGAAGGACTTTGCACGTCGGGTCAAGAATCTCAACAACCGAGCTGACCGTACAACCGTGAACCAATTCGTTCATATGCGAAAGCACTTTCTGTCATGGATTATACACGAAGTTCTCTCATTTGCATAATACCGCAAACAGTACTCATTTTCTGTTATTAACTATTAAAAATATTTTTCGCTCACAATCAAATATGCTCATGTCTGGCTCGCTCGAAGGCTGTTTTCGACGCTGACAACATGCTCAAAAGAAAATATTGACTAATACTAACCGGTCGACGCGATAACACAAGATGGTTCAAACGTGATCTGAGGCATTGTTCTGGCAGAATCCTCAGTTCCTCTACTGTTTGCGCATAACCCAACGATTGAATCAACAATTGAAGCTGATCTAAAAAATTTCAAGACATAATCTATGGAGAAAAATTCAAAATACATTCAGAAAAAACACTCACAGAAAACGTACATCACTATTAAGAAATAGTCAAATGACAAAAGAAATCTGATCAAACAGCAGAGCCGAAGAAGTCCATATTATATGCCTATACCGAAAAAGTCTATATCCATACTGAACATATTTACATGCCTCAGTCTGCGAATATTGAACCATTGAACTCAATACTAAAACGCTCAGTGAACAGAATACTCAATCTTATTCTAACTCTAGTGCTATGAATGTCAAATTACTGCTTTGTGAAATGTTTCTAGATGCCATACCTTTGAGACTCTTCAACAGCTCCTGGTGTTTCGGGATCATTAATAATATGAACAGGTGTCTGCACTGTTGGGACGACCGTAGGTGCACAATCCGCAACGGACTTGCTAGCACAGTGGGAACTATCGTCCGCAATCTTAAACTGATGGAATCAACTACTGAAATCACAATCTTAAACCGATCATCACACCAGTGAGTTTCGACTGTGCCTTGCCAAACTCACAATTATCTCAATCACTGACTACCGAATCTTGACGTTTGATTGGCAGAAGGTAATGCCAATCAAACGCCTCCAACAGCAACTTTCTTCCCGATGACATGGCGGATCAGAACTGTTGAATCAAGTCACAAAACCAACGTTTTCCGTCTGGAGAGCAGTTGACGCTGCGCCATCTGAGCTGCTAGCAACAACAGTGGTTGCTTCATTCGTTTTCCAGTTTTGAATAACTCTAATAACCGGGCGAGCGATTTCTGACGAGCCATGGAGCAATCTTCTTGAAACGCGACGAGGATCTCGCAAAACCAGATCCGTGTTCACTATCGGTTCACTGGTCACCTGATGCGCAGTCAAAGCGGCACATGCAACATCTGTAATCGTTCACTTTTTTGTTCAATAGGTCAACTAAATTATCTATTGAAATACAATTTCATTTCCTTGTCAACAGCAGTAGTGAATCGAATAATTAATGAAGAGGTGTCAAATGACCGTGTACCGACGTCTGCGATTATCATAACAATTCTTTGTTGAAAAATGCCAACCTTCCTCCGGTGCAGTTCTCTCACTGCTAGCATTTTCTCTGTTGTTTGTATTTTCATCGGTTGCAATACGTTCTTGTTCGGTGGATTGTTGCGGAACATTCGACTGAAATAAACTGATTTGTACAGTACTTCATAACAGGTAGACGCCAGCGTAGAGAAGAAAATTATTCACCATTTCTTTCAAAGGCCACAGGCCCACTTAAAGCAATCGCCTGCACCAATTCGATTTTAAGCTGAATTGTCAGTTCTTCAAATGAAAATGAGGATGCACGGGATCAATTGGTTTATAACGAATCAGTTTCACTACGATTACAATTATGCTCATTCCGAATTTGAAACTGAATGAAATGGTAAAGAGTTTTCTAGGAATTCACTAAGAGCAATGCAAATGTCAATGATGAAAAGTATTTGATGAAGTCGATTTAACTTTCAACAATTTTGATACAAAAATAAACCTCGTCGACATTACTCAGAATTGCTGAACGCTCTGATGAAGGTTCTCTTGTAAGCGATGCCGCTCTTTTCGCTTGTTCCAGGAAGTGATTGCGTTTCATTTCGTTTCGTTTTCTGCGCTCCGACGCATCACCTCGTGATCGTTCCCGGTGTTGTTCCTGAATACAATTGAACCATTCAAGACTATGAACAAATTTTAAAAGAAATGTCAACGCTTCTCATGACTGTTCATCGCCAACGAAAGTAAACGCAAACTCAACACCTGATTAGAACACAAACCACCGTAACTATAGATTTTCCTAGGCATCACTGATTTCTTCGGACTTGCTGAACGAAATAGCGATTTAACAGTGTTAACCTTTTCGATATGACCATCCAACGAATGTGATTCGGTCCGCTTCGAAGACGATTCATCGCATCGTTGACTCTTTCTCAGCGAGGATCTCTCCCGATGATTATTCTCCTGCTGTTTCTTGTGTTTCTCCACCTTATTTGGAATTCTATCCGCTGATGATACCGACGATGACGAGTGTTTCCTTGACTGAAATTGCTTATTGTCGATTTGGTGGAATCAGTTTAAAACCCCCTTTTTCTTGACCCCTTAGCCTTTGCGAATGCGAGCGATCTATCGCAAATGATCAAAAAATTCAGTCATATCACATCAATAAACTACATCATGAGAATCGCATTTCATCAGATGTCTTCAATCACCTTTATTTGATGTCATTAGATGGTCAAGCAATGACAACTTATTGTCAGTGAACGGAACTTGGATATTTTTGAATCGTGATCAAATGGATTGCATCAACACGCAATACTAATGATACACACGTACAGAAATAAAACCAATAACGAAATGCTTTCATGACTCACTTTCTCACGACTCCTATTGGATGCCAACTGTTGGCATCGATCGAGTGCATATTCATTACATTTATCGCAAATTTCCTTGCGTTCCCTCATCCAGTTCGTCCATTCCTTCCATGCTAAAATGTCATCAATTAATTAAGTAACTTCACTTTATGACGTAAATTCATCATTACGAGCTATCATCAAGCCAGATAAGCGACACAAGATAACTAAGAAAACGAACCCTTGTTGAATCCCCTCCGGCAGCGTTCCTCATTTACACGTCGATCTCGGTGGAAGATCGTGAATTCATAAACGATCTCATTGACGCTGTGATCACCAGCACCAGTATAACTTTGCACTCTCTTTCGTTTACGTGGTGAGTCCAATGAGCTGGACTCATCGCCTAAGCGACGACGCGTATGACGATGAGCTGAATCACGCCGACTTGAACGTGAACGATCAGTAGCGCGTGGTGTACGTGGTGTACGTGGTGTACAAGGTGAAGGAGCTCGTCTTGTTGGTGTTCTGCTGTTCATTTTCACTCGTTCACTTACTGTCTGTCTGTACCCAGAATCGAATCGAGAGCTTCTTTTCACCGTTCGACTCTGAATCATTAGCACTTGAAAAATTTCAACACATACGTTCATTCATGGTAGCGATTGCCCCATAAAAAAACCGAACGTTGGCAGATGAATGACAAAAAAAATTTCTTTTAAATAGAAACGATGACGGGAAATTCTCTGGTGAGGAATAGTGAACTCGAAAATCGGGAAGAGAATCAATAAATCAACTTACTTGATGTGCGCTGCGAGCATAGGATGGAAGATGAGTTCGGGACACTTTACGATTTGATCTGAAAGAAAAAACTCAACGATGATCGTCATTAAATCTGACTGGTTTTCACGCATGATTTCGTTACAACAATTTGCGAGTAAAACAACGATGAAAATAAGCGCAAAGATATAATTACAATAATGAGAATAGAGAAGCGATAATAATTTTAAAGTCACGTCGCTACTCACGTCTGGTTTGTAGGCGTTGAACATCCCGGAAAATCATCAGCTAGCCATGGATTGACGTTCGTTGTGGTCTCGATCTCATCTTCCTCATCTTAAACAATACTTGCGATATCAACGTGCGATTAATCATCACTTATATTCCACTTAAAATCCTATCAATCGCTGGACAGTTGATAATCGCACGAGCCAAAAAGTATTTCTGGCAAGACTTGTGGCGCATATCGTTCAATCTCTTCAATTAATACTTTCTATGAGAAAAAAATATTACCAATCATAACACTTACCTGTGAAGTCATTGTCGGGATCGATAATGTTTCTATGCTTTAGCGGCGATCTCCGTTTTGTCTAAAGGAATTTCACATTAAATAATTACAACTCGACTGTCATCTATAATCTTGTGTCAGTTGAAAATTTCACAACATTAAACTCATTTCTCGTTAAAACTTCAATGAGTAGTTTCTGGAAGAGAAATAACAATGAAGCAACATACACAATCCGATCGGCGGCGTAGCACAAACGCAGCACAGTCAACGGGTTTCAGGATCGATCTCACTTTCTAAATTCAATAACACTAAAATAGTTATGACCGTTTGATATTGAATGGTACAACCATAATATATACGTCAACGAACACAGGGGTCTCAGTGCAAACCTATCTACTATCTACATACCAATCGCATCTCGAAGNTGTTTACCGATGCCGACTTGTGATATTCCTCAAACTCAACAGTAACATTCCGTTCGTTTCCGCGATTACCACTCAACACGGATTTTTGCTCACGATGATCGGATGGTTCTCTGAAAATGTCACTATCTCGGTAACTGAGAGCACTCTTTCACGGAGGCATTTCTTCCAAACCTACCAGTAGTCAATAAACTAGGTACATTATAAGCACGGTCATAGCGTGCGAGTAACAAAAGAGAATGTTTTTAGACCGTAATGAAAAGTAAACTGAAATGAAAAACGAAAAAGTAATTCACGCATAATACGGTAATTCACTTACCGTATTAATTCGGGAGTTCGGGGACAATGAGCTGAAAAAAAAGGAAACTATTAGAGAAATATCGGAAAGAAGGATACATTATAATTGAATTTTGTTGCTTATTCATAAAGTGAAATGCAATTCAAAAAATTCATAACAATTGTAGAAAAGGCAAGGTTTCTGTGTATCCAATGTAGAAGACAGTTTAACACTGGACAAATTTGAGAATGCGGAATGCAATTCAAAAGCCAACAACGTGGATTAAACTCAGTACAGGGTGTGAACGGTGAGCGTGGTGTTGTCGGACGGGTTGGTGTTCGTTGCGCATATCGATCCACGTTTCCTTCACGCCCCAGACGGATCACATCCGCCGGAGCAGTGAATTTCTCAACGTTCCAACGACGTCTAAAAATGAGATGATCAGTCCAAGAATATTGAAAGAAGCAACAAATATCAAATTGTAATACCTAGTCTTCCGTACCGGAATTGCCTATTCCATATAAAGTACTTAATAATCATTTCATGCGTATACCTGGCAGAAAAGAATACGAATCGCTCCTAAAGTGCATGAATCTAAATCAACCTTGTAATATCTATTTACCAGTCCCAAATTATTAGGACAGGTAAACCAGTGCAGCTTACCGGTCCCAAATTATTCTAAAGATCACAAAATGAAGCTATCGCACAGAAAAACACACACACCTATAATGCGATCGCCAATTAGACATCTTTGACAATCTCCTGGAAGAAACAAGAAAACAATTTGTTGGAGTGTTTGCAAAATTAAATGAATAACGACACGATGACAGCGAAATCTAACACAACGAGGAAATGAACTTGGCAATTATGAACTTGAACTCAACCCACACAACACAATCATTTCAAGTGTTTAATAAACTACAGTTTCGCGACCTGTTCTCGTCACAAAAACTACTTCAGCACACTCCGTACACCACAAAAGGTCAGAATCGATGAAGTCGTGAACAGTAAACAATAACCGACAATCTCGCAGTGCCAGTGATATTTCCACAAGAGTCGCGCTGCAGTGCAACATCAATGGCATTTTTTTGTTAAGAAAAAAAATTGTTAAATGCATGCAACAATCGCCTTTGCAACAATGTAACAATCGCTTTTGGCATGCAGTACTTGTAAGTCCGCTAACCGTTTGTATAGGCTTGAGTATAAGCCTAAATTTAACCTCATATTCTGATTTGTGACAAACAGGCTGGTAGTTTCGCTTAANAAATGAAGGAATATGGTTTCCTTGTAAGGTTGTTTAAAGTCTTCAACAGATTATTGTTATCAAACTCGGTGATTATCTTGGGATAAAGAAAATCACATAATCACCGCAAAAGGAAACAATGCTTCTAAATTAGCTCTCTCCTTCTCGATTATCACCTTTTGAATGTTATAATGTAGTACTTACGACCACTTGTCATGTTTTCCCGAAAATTCCTTCTCATCTGAGTTCAACTGAACGATGGAATCTTGCCTCCATTCTAGTGGTTACGCACACAGAGCCAAGGCGAACAATTGTTAGATGAATTTGCTGCTTGATAACATGAGAGCTTTGGTAAGCTACTGTTTCGGAGAATGTGTGACAAAATGATCTCATACTCAATCACTTGAAATTTTGATACTCTGATAATAGTCTGACAATTACCCAATTTAGATGTGATTGTAATACGAAGTTGGATTAATTTATAATTCATGACTCATAATAATAAGTAATTTCGATTCCTCGTCTTTATATGAACGTCCCTGGAACGTGGACGTTCGTATAAAGACGAGAAATCTTTGCTTCTTCTTCTCATTTGTGATTGGCAACAGATTTACTGTTTTTTTTTTCTTTTTTTCTGGCAACAGATTTTTTCTGTTTTCTTCCTATTTCCTTGTTCTTTGCCAACGTCAATTTTTCTGATACTAATTCTTTAAGCAAAAACCCTTTGGCAAGCAAATTCCGAGGGTTGCTCGTCACCACATCTTGACACTGAACTCTTTCTGTTTCTTTGTCACGGTATATGATGCAAAAATTAAGTGTAATCAAGAATAAAAACGCGTGCTAGACATGTGAGTGACTGTGAAAGTCTCAAGCCGAATTCGAAATAAAATAGAGTTGTGATCGTGAAAGTTACTTAATTAGGATGAATTCAACTAAAATACCCACACTATGAAGCATGACTGCATTAACGCAGTGTTCAACACTGTTTTAAAACACCCAGCATTCAAGTGATAGTCTACATTTGCGATTCGAGAAGTGAGGTGAGTTCAGCCGCTGTTTTTGTCAAAATTCTGTTATTCAAAAGGCTTGCCCTTCTTCACGGTATTACAATTTAGACAATCCTCAGGCGACTTAACACATTCCTTCGACCCAAGTTTCAGACAGCCTTCAAATTCAGTTTATTGCTTTACCCAGTTTGATGCACAGGCTTTCATGCATTCGGTGGAACTCAACATAGCTTCTGCCTACTAATAAATCCGAATTCGAGCCTAATTCAGCGCTTGAGCTGATGCAATCCAAAATGAAGAAGAGACGATTTTTTGATTATGATTAAATGTCGATCGAAAGACAACCGGAAATTATCTTGAAAAGTGGATCAGTACGTAACTGTACAGGATTGCATTTGTTCCGGTATCCAGAACTATTGAACACAGAACTCGCGTTTCGGTTTTCGCTCGTCCTTAGCAATCGTCCTTACCGAGGAAGCGCTGGCAAACGCAGAGGGAAAGTAAGCGTCGAAAGCAAATGAGAATCTGCCAATTTCATGATGATTTGCCTCCAAAAATGAAGTTGATCTCCCTCTAGAACCAACTACGCTTACACACCTGATTCGCTTGCATATTAAAGCCGTGTTAACCATTAATATTCATCATAATGTACAACTGTAAACGTAACTGGTGCCCTGTGTTGAGCTGTGTGCGTTTCGTTTGTTGATATTCTCATGCAAAACCAAAACATTTGAACATTGCATCCGTTCGCTGCTTTGTTCATCGTTTTCAGTTCAACCACATTCGATTTCGAAACGCAAAACAAAGACAATCCCACTCATCTTACAAGCAAAGAATCGGATACATTTCCGTTTCATTGTTGCCGCAACGCTCTCATACAATGTTATTCCATCTGGGCGATGAACAATGTGTTGATCGGTTCGTTTGTTGTCGAAACGATAGCATTCTTCAATAGTACGAAATGTATGAGAAGATCCATGTTCAATACGCTGTACGTTTACATTTAACTGGATGAGATGGCACAAGCAAACTAATCGCAAGCGGTGATATTGTATGGCAACGATGATACAAACCAAACACTTTCAACGTTTGCTGAGAATCAGTAATGTACTGGTCGCTTCTTCTTCGGACATTCTCGATAAATGTGAAGCAATGAAACATTCTGTTCGCCGGAGAGTGATCAATTAAGTGCAACAATCAATGGAAACGATAGGAATTTCGCTGTGGGCATCAATCCAAAGGAACTATTATCCACTGAGAACATGATAAAGCTGAGGAAGAAAAGTTCTACTCAGCATCCTTTTCTGGTAGGATCCACCCCGCAGATCTGTGTGAGTTCTTCTTTGATGGCAAACGGTGACTACTGTGCTCAGCCGTGATGTAACACAGACAAAGTCAAGTGAATAAATGAACAACGAAACGAGAATAAATTTCTTCTTGGTGTCATAAGCGAGTGAAAATGAGAACGTAGACTAAAGAATTCAAGAATTGTTCTTGAGGCACTTATGTCGTGCATCTGCGAATGTTTTGAGGCTATATCTGGTGACTGGGTCGACAGAATGACCCACACCTCAATCATACCATATTCATTCGTATCATAATCGACGAAATATTTCAAAAAAATTGACGCTGGGAACGGGGACTCGTCTTCAAGATCAACGCTCAGCAACCTCAAGCGTGAGACAGCAATGTTCCCGTCAAGTTTGTTCACGAATCGTTGAACGTCCAGTAAACTAGCGCCATTACTGGCGCGACTTCTTGATCAACGGTAACTTTGTCCACATGTGGGTCATTCAAAGGGTATTTCTGCGGGATTCTCTGCTGCACCAGCAATCGCTCATTGAAAACGCTCAGAGCACCCACAGTCGTCACAAATGATTTCATTTAAACGAATGAAAAGGCAAACGTTGCACAGCTACCGTTCCACTTCAACCTTGCACGGATCAGATAGATGATCGCCAATGATAAAAAACGAGAGAACGTTTTCTGCTAATGGGCGTTCTCTTCGATAAGAGATAAGATTAGATCGTTGAAGCTGCGCACATGCAATGCTTTAGCACGAATAAATCGCAAGTGCTTCAATGAGGTGTTGTAGTAATGCCAGATCGTTTTACAACAACATCAGCTTATGTTACGGTCTATCACCAAATACAATCAACAATATGCAATCAAAATCGCTTTATGAAAAGCAATCCATCCATCTTAATTCAACTCTACGAAACATTCCATATTCAACCCGATACGACTTATGTTTCAACACATCCCACCGTTCCATTCAATGGCAAAGTAGTCGTTAGTCAACACAATGCTTTAACAATTCCCAGCAATCAAAACCGAATGCATGAGTAAGTGGAGTATCATCCATTAATCGTTTAAGCCGACATACCTGATGAATGCATTATATTGTTGCATCAGTGCTGATTCATACGAGCTGTAACGAACAATGAGTGAACGAGAAACCAATAAAAGACAACTCACCTTTTTGAGCTGCCCAGAACCATCGGTGTTTGACCGTAAATGCAGAATGAATTCCTACCAATGAATTTCAGCCACAATTTTCCACTTTTATTGTATTCGAGTATGCAAAATCTGCAATGATTTATTGAAGATATGCAAAACTTTTGCTAAACAAAAAAAACAATATTTCACGTATGATATGATATCGCATATTAAAGCAAAACAATCAAGGCAAAAGGATATTCTGCAGTCCGAGTTGAAGCAATCGGCAATGAAGATAGTAATGCAACAATTGATAATTTTTCCTCATAATTGGATCAGATAGCGCAGTTATTCATTTTGAAATCTCCCTTACAGATAATATCTGCATGAGATATGTACGCATAAACATGATGTGTTAGCAAATACTGTAACTGTAAGCAAAATACTGCTTTGTGTATCACGTGCTCGATTGCACATAACTCTTTGTTTAGATTATTCATGCGAGTCATTCACACAAATCGAATGGAATGAATGAACAGCTTTGTTGGGAAAGAACGCGATCAGGGCATCTGGCTTGCACTTGCTATTCGCTCATCTTTTTGCATCTCATTTCTCTCACAAAATTTTCAGCCGTTTTCGTCAGTTCACCAGAGCACGAATTCTCTTTGATAGTGTCTAGTATTGGATGTGGCAGCATTTTGGCCGTATTTGAATATCATCACTTTTGATATATTCCATGAATCTGTTCGGTATCATGAATTCCACGAATGAGGCTCGCGAACCCGTTTCTTAACAATGTGGTCATTGTTCCATTTGCTGATTCGCTGTGCAATATGATCTTTGACCATCTAAATTCCAGCAATTATGGAAACTGGTTCATAAGCTACGATCATCGTCACAAACGAAACACCACTTGCGTTCAAGCAAACAGCATGAATGTCGCGGAAATCAAGCTATTGGGGCAGTGTCTCGATCCCACAGTCACGTTACCAACCGGTCGCTGACTCAACCCCGATACCTATACTGCATCGGCATTTTTCCTTCGTTTGTACGAGTTTTC